CATGGTGCTATATAAACACATAGTTTGCATATCCTCAATAAAGCTAGCTACTCTTGCCATTATGTTGCAGAAACCTCTTAACATTATGCTGACCCTTTGGTCATGCGATGATTCTGATCACATCCTAAGTCTTTGTGTGGCAACTACAACCATAATTACATTACACGTTTTTGTCTCTTGAAAATATTTGTTCGAAAGGAAGGGCGAGAGAAAATCTCCATCTGCTGCTTCACTTCTCAAGTACATCCAATAGCTGCTAGTGTTGCCCTGGCTTGGCCCTTTGAGACAGAAATCGCCAACTTCACACCTGGCAAACGGAGTCTCAATAGCAGTGCCCTGGAGGATGTCACGGTGGGATTTTATAGCCTAAACTTCTACAGGTCCAGAACCACAGTCACCTGCCTGTGCAACACATTTCAGGTTAATAAAGGCATACATTGTAAACTGGTAACTTTGATAAACACCCATCCAGGGCATGATCCTTTCCCAAGCCAGATGAAATAAAAGAAAGAACTGTCACGGGGATGGGGAAGGAGGGGCTGAGCTTTCTCAATTCCGTGCTCAGCGTTCCTCTCCTCTCCACCCCTTTTAAAAAATATTTATTTTTATTGGAAAGTCAGATATATGAAAAGAGGAGGAAAGACAGAGAGGAAAATCTTCCGTCTGATGATTCACTCCCCAAGTGGTCAAAATGGCTGGAGCTGTGCTGATCCAAAGATAGGAGTTCATAGCCTTTTCCAGGTCTCCCACACTGGTGCAGGGTCCTAAGGCTTTGGGCCATTCTCAACTGCTTTCCCAGGCCACAAGCAGGGAGCCGGATGGGAAGCGGGGCTTCCGGGATTAGAACCAGCACCCATATGGGATCCCAGTGTGTACAAGGTAAGAACTTTAGCCTCCAGGCTATGTAGCCAGACCCCCACTCCCTCTTTTTGAAAGTCTGTTTTCCATAAAACGTTCCCGCCTCCTGCCTCGTTTGGTTGCCCCCGTCTTTTGGGACAAAAGCCCCAAGAATGTGCCAACTAGGTCTCCCATATGGATAGCAGGAACCCAAGCACATGAGCCATAATCCACTGTCTCCCTGGTGCATCAGCAAAGAGCTGGGTTGGAAGCACAGAGTAGCTGGGATGTATGAGATGTGGGCATTACAAGTAGCAGCTTAACTTCCTGTACCAGCAGCCCCAGGTATTGCATTTTTGGGAGCCATTTTGCTTTTCTGCTGACTCATTCCCTATCAGGTGTCAAAGGTTTAGGCATTGCCGTGATGCAGCAGTTCTAGAGAGGTCAGACAAAAATCCACCCTCGCCTACAGAATCTTGAGCTGTTTTGTGATTCCTATTCAACATTCAAATGAACTACCTGAACAAGACATTGGATGTTTCCAGGTCCTCAGTATTCACTTCCATGAAGTGAGCTGTTTTTTTTTTTTTTTTAAGATTTATTTTATTTTAATTACAAAGTCAGATATACAGAGAGGAGAGAGGAAGTGGAGCCGCTGGGATTAGAACTGATGACCATATGGGATCCTGGCACATTCAAGGCGAGGACCTTAGCCATTAGGCCACGCTGCTGGGCCCCCAAGAGTGACCTTTTTTTAACCATTAGGTGCTCAAATACATGAGAGTATTTTAGGAAGTTCATGGGAAATTGGAATCAAAAAACAACTTGGGTATGCAAAAAATTTTGAAGTTCATGAATATGAAAGGTAAAATGTGTATTATGAAAAGACTAGACATGCATGGTTCAAGAGTTGTGTTTACTAAAACACACCAATTTGGACGTGGCAGGATGGCTCAGTAGTTAAATCCTCACCTTGCAATCACTGACATATCATTTGGGTGCCAGTTTGTTCTCTGCTGCTCTGCTTCCCATCCAACTCCTTGTCTGTGGCCTGGGAAAGCAGTGGAGGATGGCCCAGAGTCTTAGGACCCTGCACCCGCGTGGGAGACCTGGAAGAAGCTCCCGACTCCTGGCTTTGGATTGGCTCAGTTTCGACCGTTAGGACCACGTAGCAACTGGATCAGTGTAAGGAAGATCTTTTTGTCTCTCCTTCTCTCTGGAAATCTTCCTTTCCAATAAAAATAAATAAGTAAATACACCTTTTAATTTTATTTTCCATGAATGTTTAAGTAGCCTATGTTGTAAGAACCTTCTTTTCTACTAAACAATTAACTAAGCAAATAGCAACACTGTAAAGTATTTAAGTTTGTACACTTAGAATATGAAATGAACAAGAAGGAATAATGATGTAATATTAACAGTAAATAGTATAGGGCCTGATGCAGTAGCCTAGTGGCAAAAGTCCTTGCCTTGCATGTGCTGGGATCCCACATGGGCACCATGTCCTGGCTCTTCTACTTCCCATCTAGTTCTCTGCTTGTGGCCTGGGAAAGTAGTTGAGGATGCTCCAAAGTCTTGGGACCCTGCACCTGTGTGGGAGACCCGATAGAAGCTCTTGGCTTCTGTTCTGGATTGGCTCAGCTCCAGCTGTTGCAGCTACTAGGGGAGTGAATCAGCAGATGGAAGATCTTTCTCTGAGTCTCCTTCTTTCTGTATATCTGCATTTCCAATAAAAATAAACAAAATCTTAAAAAAAAAAAAAAACCAGTAACTAATATAAAAAAGAATAAGAAGGAAAACAAAATCCTGTGAGTTCAGGCTTTACATGAACACCTTAAAGGTTGAAAACAATCACATACAGACACAAGTTATGTCTGACTTCTCCTAGTGGTCAAAATGCCATCGCTGTTACTACTACTACTGCTGCTTTCAACATGTGCATGCTTCCAAAGAACAGTGAAAAACTCCTGTTATTACATAACTTCATTGTTAAATCCCTCAGTGACTCCCTATCTTGCTTACTAAAAGCCAAAAGTTCTTAGAACAGCCTACAATACCCTCTCTGATCAGTGCACAGCATGCCACCAGCTCTCCTATCTCAGGCGTTTTTCTGACTTTGTTTTCTTTTTTTTTTTTAATCATTCTCCTTACTCCACTGACCTGCCTGTTCATATCATGAAGTGACCTCTGCTAGAATGTTCTCCCAGAACGCCACAAGGCTTGGTCTCTTACTACTTCCTGGACTCTGCAGAAATACCTTTTCAAGAATGCTTTATCGGTCCGGCAGCGTGGCCTAGTGGCTGAAGTCCTCTCCTTGAACGCCGCGGGATCCCAAATGAACACCGGTTCTAATCCCGGTGGCTCCAATTCCCATCCAGCTCCCTGCCTGTGGCCCGGGAAAGCAGTCTAGGACGGCCCAAAGCTTTGGGACCCTGCAGCCGCGTGGGGTACCCGGAAGAAGTTCCTGGATCCTGGCTTTGGATGGGCTCAGCTCCAGCAGTTGTGCTCACTTGGGGAGTGAATCATCGGACGGGAAGATCTTCCTCTCTCTCTCTCCTCCTCTCTGTATATCTGACTTTCCAGTAAATAAATAAATCTTTTTTTTTTAAAAAAAAAGAATGCTTTGGGCCCGGCGCGGTGGCGCAAGTGGTTAAAGGTCCTCGCCTTGCACGCCCAGGATCCCATATGGGCGCTGGTTCTAATCCTGGCAGCCCCGCTTCCCTTCCAGCTCCCTGCCTGTGGCCCGGGAAAGCAGTCGAGGACAGCCCAAAGCTTTGGGACCCTGCACCCGCGTGGGAGACCCGGAAGAGGCTCCTGGCTTTGGCTCGGCATAGTATCGGCCCGTTGCGCTCACTTGGGGAGTGAATCATCAGACGGAAGATCTTCCTCTCTGTCTCTTCTCTCTCTGTATATCCGCCTTTCCAGTAAAAAAATAATAAAAATAAATCTTTAAAAAAAAAATAAAAATAAAAGAATGCTTTATCTAACCACCTTATTTAAAATAGGGCCCTGGGGGCTGGTACTGTGGCACAGTAAGCTAGGTTTCTGTCATGGCACTAGCACCCCATATGGGCCCTGGCTGCTCCACTTCTATTCCAGCTTCCTGTCTATGGCCTTGAAGGGCAGTAGAGGATGGCCAAAGCCTTTGGGACCCTACACTCAATTGGAAGCTCTTGGCTTCCAATTTTCGAACAGCTCAGCTCTGGCTGTTATGGCTATTTGGGTAGTTGTCTCTCCTAGCTCCTCCTCTCAAATGAAAATGAATCACTAAACAAAGTGTCTTGCGTATTTCTTAACATCCCTACTCTGCCTTTTCTCCATGGCACTTAAGACACTGACATATCTAGGCGTATACTTTCTTTAGCTAAAACAGAAGTTCTTCAAGGAGGGGATTTTGGTTTTATGCGCTGCTGAATTACTATAACCAAAACAGTGTTTGGTGCAGAGAATGCACTTAGCCTTTGGTTAATTTTTTTTTAGAATGTTTGAAAGGTAGAATTACAGAAAAGGAGAGGGATGGCCAGAGAAAGAGATGTTCTATCTCCTGGTTCAATCCCAAATGGCCCTAAGAGCCTAGAACTCCATCCAGGTCTCCCATATGGGTGGCAGGGACCCAAGCATTTGGGTTATCAATGGCTGCCTTCCCAGATGCATTAGCGAGGGAGCTCAATCACAAGTGGAGCAGGTGGGACTCAAACGTGTACTCATATGAGATATTGACATCAAAGGAAGCAACTTAACATGATGCACCACAATAGTGGCCCCTGAATTGTTTAAATCATAATTTTGGAAAACCCCTTATAGCATCTTATATGGGAGAAAAGCTAAAACAGGAACTAAAGGCTCTGAAAATGTACATCTGCCCAAATTTCACATATTTACACCAGTGGATCCAACAAGTAGCTCCATTCTTTGTATGTACTCCAATTTACTAGTGTTTGGTGTACAAGCCGAGAAATTCTATCATTACAACTTCATACCACATGCAGAGTGTTGGCTGTCAGCACACAATTCCTTCCCTTCCTATCTCACCTCAAGGTTCTCTTTGTCACCTCTGCAGTTTTGTATAGGAGCAGATACTTTTAACTATATCAGTCCATATTAAATCTCTGCAAGATGCAGATGATAACCAGAATATAAATTTTTCTTAATTGCAGAGTTAAATCTTGTAGAAGCTTTTTATTTCAGTGATTAAAGGAATTAAGTAATTGAAATCCATACTGATTAACATTAGGCATGCACCTTTACCTGAAATTGCTGTTGAGTTTTTGACACATCTTGAGTTTTTGGTACCCTGAAATACAGGGTAAGTTAACTTCTTCATAGTGGCAATCAAGTAATGAAAATTCTGGTCACTGTGTAGAGTTCTATACTGCCTTGAGATCACATTTTAATGCAGATATTTAAGTAAATCACAGTACAGGGGAGGGAGGGAATCTCTAAATCCCAAGTGTGCTGCATATTTTGCAGCATTAACAGTCACACACCAGATAAGGAAGTAAGTGCCAGGTTGTTCTTCTCCTGTTGCTGCCCTTTCTGAGAGACACAAAGATCTCTGCAGAAATCTGAAATGAATCCACACAAATAAGAGATCTCTATGTGGTCCCACCATCTAATCACAGGAAACAGTTGAGACCTTGAGAAAACCATACCCCCCATATATATATATAGAAACACACATCTGATTCATTCATCTGTCAATGATTTCCACCAGATTAAAAAACAGAACCAAATACAAGTATGACCTCCAAATCCTGCACATAAAATAATTGGTCCTTGTTCATTTTCAGATGGCAGGATGTCCCAAGAGTGACAGGAGGTGGGAACCGATGCCCCAATGCCATATAGCCAATCATCCCATCAGTTGTTCTTCGTGTCTTGAACTACCTTCCTTTTCCAAAGAGATAATGCTGAGGTCAGTCAGAAAGGCTTTCTGAAAAGACTGGCTTGGATTTTTGGGTCTGTTCCAGTCGGTTCAAGATGAATTGGCTTGTATCAATGAAGCGCTCAACGCAGTTCACAAAACAGGCCTCAGCCCGACTGTCCAACTTTGGCCCAGGCTTGTCCATGCATTTCTCCTGTTCAGGACAAGATACAGAATCACAAAGGGAACTTGGGGTAGAGGGAAGGCAGTGGCGGGGGGGGGGGGGGGGGGGGGGGGGGCAGGGGACGGAAGGTTAACTTCTTGTTGCTTAGAGCAAAAATTTTACCCAAAAATAATACTGATAGGTTAAGAATCTCACACTTGGCAGATTATCTAGTACGGAACCATGTTTTATAACCTTATATTGAATGTTCACAACCACCCTATTGAATAGTTACTATTGTTAGTATTTTAGAAAGAGGGATACTTCACCCAAGGTTATAACAATTAAATGTTTTTAACTATAGAATAAATGGATGAAAAGTCATCACAGCAAGATACCATAAAGCCTACTAGGAGAAAATGTATGACCTTAGATTCTGTAACCTTGTTGACCCAAGTCCAAGCTTCCAGAGTCCTCAGGATGAATGGAAAAAATGTATCCCTTTTCCTAAAGGACGTATAGCTTAGATTCTTAGGGGAGCCCTTAACCACACTCTCTTCTGCTCAACATAAAAAAAAATCAGAGTGAAAAAAAAAAAAAAAAACCAAACGAACTACTCTGGTCCAAGAGAGACCACAGGTAAACAGGCATTTGGAGTGGGTCATAGTCCAGCAGTACCACAAGTTTACAGGAAATGAACTATGGAAACTGATGTCTGTATATAGTTCACGTTAAGTGGTTCAAATGCAGTTTGTTCATTATTCTGTGCCTCCCACCCTCCAATTCCACGGAGGGTCGTCCTCAGCCTCTAAATTCTGAGAACTTCATTTGTTAAGGGGGCATATTATGCTGTTCTGGGCAACCAGCAATCCTTGATCTCAAGCTGAAAATGCCTTCTACCCTTTTGCCAAAGTCTCCTCGGAGAGCAGACTCAATTCCTCAACCTTCAGACCCAAAACAGCTAGGTATTACACAACAACCCAACAGGAGGGCAAATCTGGGTGTATGTTGGAAGCGATTACACCACGTTTCTAGTTAGTGGGCTGGAGCGACTCATTTCTTACCACGGAGGGTTAAAGCAACGGAACGATCCATGTCATTCTGAAAGACCCCAGGAATAGTAGATTCCCTGACTCTGTAGGACTCAGAGTCCCAAAGAGAAGAATTTCAGCACTGTGGGGACGGAGGGAGCTCTCTCCATTAACCTTGGTGACAGACCTAGGCAGCTTCAACATCAGGTGCTTGAAAGTGTTGGATGGGACAGTGCCTTAAGACTTCTCTCTGCCCCAATTCTGTGTACCAAGTAAGGTGAGATTCAAAGTGGCACTGCCTGGAGAAGTGGAGTCACCTGTCCTCTGACAAAGCTAAAAGGTGCAGTTGGGTCTACCTTGCTTCCCAGATCCCGACACCACAGCGAACCCTACGGGGCAAGGGCAGAAGGAGAAAGGCTATACCGTCCACTTCCCAGCTCCAAGATCCTCACCCAACAAAGTTCAGTCATTTGGTGCACCAGTTGCTGGAAGCGCTGCTTCTGGGTCTCCACCTCGATGAAATGCTGCAACTGCGGGTCCACAGCACTCAAGCCCGCGGCGGAGGAAGACGAGGAGGAATCCATCCCGGCGCGATCACGCGTGCCCAGACGGACTCCGTACCAACTCTCCGACCTTCACGTGTCTCAGCGACGGAAGCGGAACCACAACCCGTAGTCCTGGGGCCCGCCCCGTGAGCTCACTGCGTCGGCGCAAGGCGCGCACGGGTCAGCCCCGCCGCCTTCTGGGGCGTGGGCGCTGGCGTCGGGCTTCTTGGCCCAACGGCCGCCCTACCACGCAGCTCTGCGCTGGCGCCCGAGTGTTCAGAGCGTGCAGTCCAGAGCCGAGGAGCTATAGAGACATTACTTCGAGCAGAAAAAAAAAAAAAGAAAGAAAGAAAAAAAAAGGAGGGGGCGGAGAAAGTGCCTTAGCCGCGTGACCCGTTCCACTCCTGCCCGTAGCTCCACCCCTACCAGCTTCCAAATTGGCCCGCGCTTGCCGCGCGGCTGGGGTTGTGCTCAGTTTGTTTTTTGGCCATTCTGGGCCATTGTGGTTTGCTTCTTTTTCTCTCCTGGAGAATGCAAATAAGGTTCTGGCAGAATTTGGCCGCAGTTCCCAAATTCATTGAGACACTATGGTATGGCTACTAGGTACCAGGCAATGCCCTGGCTTATGAATTCATCTCTGATTCCGAGGGAGGCTTGAACTAGCTCCAGTGGAATCAAAGAAGTTAAAAGCCGAGGCACCTGCTGAGTTGTCAGTGTAGGAGTGTGTCCTATGAAGTTCTCTGCAGTACTGAGTCAGCACTTCCAGGCGGGCTGCATGATTCAACGAAATACCAAAGATCTTCACACACACAGCTTTTCAGTAATTTTATTGTATAAAACGACTCCCTCCCATTTTATGACACCGTTTCATTTTCGAAAAATTCTGCACTCCCCTTCCCAAGATCAAATGTACCTCCAAAAGAGCTATTGGTCTCTTTGTGTACTTTTCTCTCTCCCTCTTCTCAAATGTCTCTACCTCCAAATTCAGTGTGTCTTAATAATATTTTGGGCAATTTTCTCTCTTGGGGGTAATCCGAGGCACAGACGCCTGGACCTCTGCACAGAAGGCACTATCCCAGGGTACCAAAGAAGAGTGGCATTCCTAGATGCAGAAGGGAGGTGGGGGCTTGGTGTAGTCAGTGGAAGCACGAAGGCTCCAGAACCTGTGAACCCGGGATTTCCTCAGGGAAGATGAAATCGAGGCTGGTAGAAGCAAGGAGTGGAATCAAGAAGCTTATTAGCGAGCTCAGGATTCTTCATCCATGACATCGAGAATGTTGCTCAGGAGAATTTTGAAAGTGGGACGTTCATCTGCTTTCTAAAGGCAAAGAAAAATGAAGTGTTACACAGTAGCTAGAATCCAAAATTCCAGGGAAACGCGCTGAGCAGGAAGAAGCAATTAACTCTGCATATACTCTATGCCCAATAGCATAGTGCATCCATTGATCACAAGACTGAGTGTAAGACAAGTGGCAGCTCTCCCTATAGTCTTTGGGCCCTTTCCAGCTTGAGTATCTCAAGGTTATTCATATGATAAGAACAATATGTAAAGTAAGCTGGCATACATATGGATGAAAACTGAGTAAGTACAAAACATAATCACAATACATTGTTATTTTAGAACCTACAAGGGCAAACAACTACTAAATAAGTTTAAATGGAAATGATTGACAGAACATTAATCTTATAACCATGTGTAGCTTCTGTTCAAATATGGTTTCTTTTAATGCAAAGTCAAAGTGAAAAAAGCCAGAGGGTGCACTCCTGGGCAGGGATCCTGAGCACCCAGGACTTTCTGCTACCCATATGGAACCTGTAGACCAAGGTATTTAATGACTCAGGAGGCATTCATGCCACAACGGTTTTAACAGGTCAGGGCAAAACAAACAAACAAACAAACAAAAAACAACAACAAAAAAACCTATCAATTTCTTGCTGCTTTGGATCTCAAAACTGGTTGAGTATCAGAATTTCCTGGGAATTTTAAAATCTTTAAAATACATGGATCCACTTTATACATACCTTATCACAATTTCTGGGAAAGAGGCCCAGGAATTTATAGTGGGTTTTTTTTGTTGTTGTTGTTGTCATTGTTGTTTTGTTTTGTTTTGTTTTAGATGCCTATTTTTGATGGGAGGAAGGGAGGGAAAAAAATATGTCGGCTGGTTCATTGATCTAAATGCCTGCAATGGTCAGGACTGTGCCAAGGCCAGAGCCAGGCACTAGAAACTGGGAATGCAATACAGGTCTCACAGGTGGGCATAAACTCAATTACTTGAGTCTGATCTCCCAGAGTTCCATTGATGAGAAACTGGTGTCAGGAGCCATAACTGGGACAAGGGACACAGGCATCTTAACTGCTAGGCTAAACACCACTTCCCAAGTAAATTTTATTTTTAAGAGTTCTTTGAGGCCAGAGCTATGGCATAGTGAGTAAAGCCTCCATCTGCAGCACTATATAAGAAAGAATCCTGTTATATAAGAAAGAATAGCACTATATAAGAAAAAATTCCTGTTTCTGGAAGGACAAAACTAAGAGTTGAGCATGTATTTCCACTAGAGATTTAGGCTTCCAATTTAAGGTTGTCAAGGAGCTACTGAGCAGCAAATGCACTTTGTGAAGAACCCAAGGTAAGAGGAGCCGAGTATTTTAGTAATAGTAGTGGCACTGGCTCATTATTTTTTAAATGTCACCATATTAAGAGGCAAAAGCAAATCTGCCCGCTTCAATTCCCTTTGAAACCTTAGGATATATTTAAAAGAAATCTCATTTAAGACCACAGCTGTAAAATGGCAGCTAGTAAAGTGGAAGAGAAGGTTAAAGGGGTGAACACCAACTTTAATGACTTTTCTTTCTTTTGTGATGTTCAGGCACTTGTCTGAGGGCCTCTGACTGCCTACATGGGTTAGATGACATGGGCAAACACATGCAAGTATACACACACACACACACACACACATTTCCCTGACCTTTCCCTAATGCTCAATTGTTGTTGCGGTCTACTGCGGATACCCTAGTGACCACCAGTTGGACTTGGGAGAGCTTCTGCCACTGGGGAATTGGAGAACAGGCCAGAGTCAGAAAATGGTGACACTATCAGTCTGTGCCCAGCAGGTGGGCAGCTATGGAGAGCTGGGAAAGGTGTATAGGAAAGTCAGTTCAAGGAAGATGTAATAGGTCACACCAAGACACTTGCCTCATGCCAGCAGCTGTACATGATGGTGTACACCCTCTCTGAAGCCAGATGAGGCCTGTAGAGACGCAGGCCTTGGGTGATGTGCTCAGCGGTCTCACTGTTAGTAAATCTTTCATAAGGCATCTTGCCCAGGGAGTAGATCTCCCACATCAAAACCCCTAGAAAATAAAAAAGAAAAAGGTACTAAATCACTTTGTAGTCTGTTTGGGTAGTAAGAATTCCTGTCTTCCTTAATCAACTTCAGAGATCAGCTGATTCCCCTCACTGGCCTTTCTGCATTTTGTCCAATCTTCTGCTGTGGTCCTGATCACATTGGATGGTGATCAGAGCTACAGCAGACCATTAAATCTTGTAGAAGGGAGAAGGCATCGTATTTGTCTTTGTAGTTACAGGGACTGGCAGAGTGCCTGGTACATAATCAGGATGCAGAAGCTGTTGCATACTGAATAAATTGTTTGTTTCCCTCAGTATATTGTCAAGTTCTAAGAAAGTAGAGTTCATGTCCAGTTGACTGCTTTTACCCTCAGAAGCTCTTGTGGTGCCTGATACACAACAAATGCTCCTGCAGTTAGATGAATGAAAATAAGAACAACCTCTCTGTGTCATTGCAAAGTGAGAATTTCCCCCTTTGGATTCTACTGTGACCTGTGTGATCTTCACAATCTTGCCCACTTACCAAAAGCCCAAATGTCAGATTTGCTGCTGAACTTGCTATACATAAGGACTTCTGGTGGAGACCACCGCACTGGAAACTTAGACCCTACTGAGCTTGTATATTCATCATCCAGGACATACCTGCAAAGAATTGGAGACTTCTTAGCAGTAGGATTTGGAGAGCTTACTATTTGTTTACCTCTTCTCGACACAATACAGAGCTATGCATATAATACACTTAAGAACCTTCTCAAAAGGCTCTGTTGGTCAAATGGTATCTTTTATAAATGTTACATGTACCAAAATTTCCATTTTTTCCCTTTGTAAGTCTTCTATATATTTTCATTTGTTTGAAAGGAAAGAAATAGAGAGACAGGCAGAGATCTTCGGCCCCCTGGTTCACTTCCTGAAATGCCTGCAACAGTTCAAGTCTGGGCCTGGATGAAGTAGGAGCCCAGAAGCTGGAATTGAGATTGGAGCTGGACCTCAATCCCACTCGATTATGGGACGTGGGCATCCCAAGTGGCATCTTGACTGCACTCAACACCTGCTGTTCATCTTTCATTTCTGATTTAGCTTTCCTAACCGAAAAAATAGTTACAAGGATGATAGGGTCAAATTAAATCTAATATGTACTTCCTTTTTCCTGGGGATTATACTAAGAAAGAAGGAGGAAGGATGGAGTAAAATCAATAGGATTTACAAATCAAGATATAGAGTACTGTAGAAATCACTTCAAATAAAGGGGTGAGTGGTTTCATGGCTTAGTAGAAAAAGCCTCTGTCCACAGCACCAGCATCCTAAATGGGCACCCAGTTCATATCTTGGATGCTCCACTTCTCTCTCCTTACAATCTGGGAAAGCATGGAAGATGGTCCAAGTCTGTGGGTCCCTGTGTCCACGTGGAGACATGGAGGAAGCTCCTGGCTCCCAGTTTTGGATTGGCCCAGGTCCTGCCATTGAGGCCATTTGGGCAATGAACTAGTGGGTGGAGGATCTCTGTCTGTCTCTCCTCTCTCTCTCTGTGACTATGCCTTTCAAGTAAAGATAAAATTCGTCTTTAAAAAAAGGGGGAGGAGAAAGGGAGATAAGAATGGGAAGAAAAAGTAATAAGATGAAGAAGTGGCTTTATTCAGTGAAATTAAAGGCACAGAAGTGATGGTGGAAAACACTAGAATGAGGGGGAAAAAGATTAAAAGGTTGAACTACAACAAAAGGATACCACTCCTGCTCACACTGCACTATTTTTACTTTTCGAGGGAAAAAATGAATAAGGTACCCTCACCTGGACAGACCGAAGTCAGATACTTTCACAACGCCTTGG